GGAATCAGGAACAGTGAGGGTAACTCTGGATGTGACAAGTAACAACGGTGTTCTAGGACATCCCTTTGTGCTACCCAGTTTCAGTAGCAAGAACAGGTCTCCAGACAATGGTGATAGCAACAGCCACACATAGCTCCCTTGGGAATATCTGGACCCCCCCCCCCCCCAATCCTACCCCAGCTGAGTGATCCAGCTTCAAAGGGATGTTTCAGGGTTCCCACTCTAGGAGAGCCCAAGATAGTAGCAACTACCTTGTGGTTGGATTAAATACGCCCTTGGAGTTCTTGCACAGGAGGAAGAACCCTAGTATGAAACATGTGTGCACAGTAATTAGACAGGGTCTCAGAGGCGTTGGAACTAGATGAAAAGAAATGTGACCTTTTTATATTAAAGATGGTAAAGTATGCTTCAAGTACAAATATAAAGACATCTCCCATTTTATAAAGTTTATGAACGTAATTCTTCATACTAAACAAGGAATAGAATTTACACGAGACAGATTAGGTTGACTTAATATTAATAAAGTACCAGGTGTTACAGTGTATGTTAATATATGTTTATTATATAAATAAGAATAACTGATATTTCTTATCCACAAGAACCCTCTAACCACTGGGAACATTTACCATATACATCACCTGGACAAAATATTCTGCTCAAAGTCTACATGAACTTACGAGCCAAACTTCTGAATGGCACTATTTTGATGGATTTACCAAGTATTATCCTAACAGTAATATGATGCCAACAAGGGGAAGAAAGTGGCACTAAGCATCACATTCTTGCTCTGTAACTGGGTGCTTTGGCAAAACCAAACGTTCCACTTGCTGGTATTCTTACACCACTTTGTATTTCAACCAAAGCAGCTCTGGACAAGGGAGAGGCACAGATGCAAGATGGAGGATTTTAGATCAAGGCGAGACGTTTTCATGCAAGTCAAGTATGCTCATAGCGGACTAGCAGAAGCAGGATGTGCGATACCTTGAATCACACTTCTCGCCCTTTAGGTCAGATCATTTTTTTTTTTTTTTTGACAGGCAGAGTGGACAGTGAGAGAGAGAGACAGAGAGAAAGGTCTTCCTTTTGCCGTTGGTTCACCCTCCAGTGGCCACCACGGCCGGCACGCTGTGGCCGGCGCACCACGCTGATCCGAAGCCAGGAACCAGGTGCCATCCTCCACTGCACTCCCAGGCCACAGCAGAGAGCTGGCCTGGAAGAGGGGCAACCTGGACAGAATCTGGCACCCCGACCGGGACTAGAACCCCGTGTGCCGGTGCCGCAGGCGGAGGATTAGCCTATTGAGCCATGGCACCGGCCAGGTCATATCCTTATAACCTCAAGTCCTGGTGACTGAATGTCCTAAGCTTGTATGAAATACTGCAGATGAAAAGAAGTATTTTATTGAGCTACTGATGTCTGCTTTAATTAGTTTCCATCTATAGATGAATAAAGGCAATTTCTCCCTTCCTCCTCCTAGACAGAGCCACGCTGCCCTTTTCAGAGTTTCCTGGACATGGTGCTGCCCTAGAGACCCCCTCATCCATATTTTGCAGAGGGCAGAGATGGCAATTGCGCTAGAAGAGGGAAGACAAAAGGAATGGTGGTGGGTGGGACAACTGATGAAGGTACTGAGAGATGGTCCCTGAAAATAGATCTGGGTTTGGGGAGGGAGAGGAGAGGCGATGTCAGCATAATTCTGTAGCAGGGTTCCCATACAGTCCTGCAGGGATACCAAGGGCCTCGCTCAGAGGACCCAGCATGGTGCTTCCTGCAGACTTCTAGAGTCTGAGGCTAGCGCTACAGCCCAGAAGCCTCCGCACTGGTCCCCAAGCACAAGCAGATGGCATCAGTGGGGACTCTGGTGTGAAGGACAAGGAACTGCCAGATGTCACAATGAAGTCCTGAGGCCCCAGGATTTCTGGGCCAGATTTTCTTTGTGAACTCAAGTGAAGAACAAGGGAGAATGAGAAATGCTGTCCTTGAATTCCTCAGCCACATGGTGGCTGGACGGCTGAGTCAGCTGTCATTTGGGAAAACTAAAGATGGGATGGCTGTTTGTTCTTCTAAGAGTATGGGACAAATGCAAACTGTTTATGTGTCTATGTACTTTTAAAAGAAAACTTTGCAGAACTTCATTGATTTTTCAAATTACCAATGACTTAAAACAGGCTGGAAGCCCCTGCCTTACAAGATAAATGATAACTAAAAAAAAGCCTCTATTTACTTATTTTCATTTTTATTTGGAAGGCAGAGACAAAGAGATTGAGGAGAGAACCAGCAATGGACAGATGCCCACAAAGCCAGGACTGGACCAGGCCAAAGTCAAGAGCCAGGAGCTCCACCTGGGTTTCCTGTGTGGGTGGCAGCAGTTGATCTGAGCACCAAGGCCGCAACCCAGGAGCCTAAGCTCTGGCTCCCAGGCGTAGCCACACAGCATCAGTGGGCTTCTGGTACAAAGGACCAAAACCCAAAGATACTGCACCGAATTCCTGGGGCCCTTCCTGGTGTTTCTCAGCCAGGCCTCCTCTGTGATGTCAAGTGAGCAATCAGGGAGAACGATGCGTATCAACAGGAAGCTGAGCCAAGACTCGAAGCCAGGTACTCCCATATGGGCTGTAGGGGTCCCAGGTGGCGGTGTAAACACTGTGCTAAACGCCCACACCCAGGAGATGTTTTTAGGTTGGGCTTTTCTGAGAAAAGATTTGTGAGCAAGAGGGTCATAAAGAAAATCCTTTTGAGGAGACAGGACGGGGTTTGGGGGGGGTAAGCAAACAGGAGACGAGGAAGCCAGTCCTACAGAGGAGAGCCTCCGCCTGACCCCACAGGGACCTCTGCAGCCCAAGTTACAGCTCCAGAGTGTGCAAGAGCTCTTGCGCTTGTAGGCACTGATCAGGGGCCTTGGCAGGGCTGTGCAGACTAAACTGCCAGACTCTTCGGAGAACTGATTTTAGGAGACCAGGGCTCAGCTGCCCGAAGAGCTCCAGATGCTATGAATCAGAAGCAGATACACAAGCAAGGCGGGGGAGCCTGTGCACAAAAGTGACAAGGCGAAAGGAAAGGTCCTGGGGCCCCCCGACTCCCGAGAAGAGGTGCCCTTAGAAACACCACCGTAGCTGCAGGGCCAGACCCTTGGCGTCGGAACGCTGAGGAAAGGGGAGCTTCAGCGAAGGGCAGAGCCCAGGAAAGCGGGGCGGCGGGTGTGTTGAGAACTCCAGAACACACGTGTCTGTCAGTCCTGCAGAGCTGCTTCCCAGATGTCAGGAAATCATCTCCTTGTGGGACGTCGGTCATCTCTGTTCTTCAGCTCCATTTGCCCTCCCAAAAGTCCACGACAGCAGGGCTGAGCCAGGCACAGCTGGGAGCAGGGAACTCTGTCCTGGTCTCCCAAGTGGGTGGCAGGAATCCAGCTACCTGAGCTACTGCCACTGCCTCCCAGGATCTGCGTTGGTGGGAAACAGGAGACAGGGGCCAAAGCTGGCAATCAGACTCAGGTCCGATGGGAGACACAGGTATCTTAACGTAAAGCTAAACACTCGCTCCCAGCGGCTGTTTCTCCATTGAAGTCACAGCCTCTCAGCCTTTTGTAGGCTCACCTCTCTCTCTCCCCCTCACAGCCCCTCTTCCAGGTTCTCTCACTTCCTGGGTCAACCCTGTGGTATCTTTTCCTTCTAGAATGTGGAGAAACATACATCTTTTTGTTTCATTCCTAGTCCAGCCCAGCTATGTCCAATGGGTCTCATTTTCATAACTGGGCATAGCCACATAAAGTGTTGTGAACAAAAGCAGTTCTTGCCTGCTTTTTCTGGACCACAGAAACTAGGCAAAGAGAGAAGGCAACCTGAGGTCCCTGTCCCAGGTGGTGGCAAAACTCGGACAAGAACTCAAGTTCTTAACTCTTCCTCCAGTGTTCAATGCCCCCTAACACACTGCCTCATGGGTGTTTTTTTTTTTTTTTTAATCGAAGGTCCCTTACTGGTCCTGCTTCTGTGTACGTGAGTGGTCGAGTCGGGGGAGGGGAGGGTCATCTCCACAACATTCCATTTATACACAGAACTACAGACGAGCACAGACACTACTGTGGTTAGAAGTTGGCAGCATGGGAAGGGAACGGGATAGGCGGGGGTTGGGGTATCATTAAAAAAAATACAGGACTCCCCCCAAACTGGGGTACCTGAGGAGGGGGGAGCTTGGTCTGTTTCAACCCAAGAGGAATCAGAAGATCAAAAGCAGTTTGGGGCGGCCAGAACCGTCAGGGATGGGAGGAGGAGGATCCAGGGGGGGCTGTTTGGCAACTGGGGCGAAGGAATTGCCCTCCCCCTGCTGGGATCCCCCCAGTCCCTCCGGCCTGGCAGGGAGGGGGCAGCCTGCAACCCCCAAGGGCAGGTCTGGGGCTGTCAGATGCGCCGGGCAGGGGGCTGGGGGGCTCACAAGGGCTTGCCCTCCAGGGAGATGCCGGCACTGCCCCCAGCTTCTCCGCCAGAGTGCAGCGGTCCTTGACCTCCTCATAGCAGTTGGCTTGCAATTCATACTTGATTCCTGTCAGCTTCTTCTTGATGGCGTCCTTGGAGCTGGGGTAGATCATTTTGCTCTTGAGGGGCACACACTTGGGGGCTCAGAAGATGAACACCAGGTCCTCCTTCTTGCTCTCCTTGGTCTCGTAGGTGGCGTCGTAGAGGGCGTAGCGGCAGTCCTTGTCGGGCAGCATCTGCACGAAGGTGGCGTAGGGGTCCTCCACGGTCTGGCCCACGTCGCCCACCAGGATCTCCTTACCCTCCTCCAGCACGATGTTCTTCTTGTCCTCGCTCAGGCAGAACAGCACCGCCTTCTTGCGCTTCTTCACCTCCTCGGGCATCGACGACTTGCGCACCTTCATGTCGTTGAACACCTTGATGACGCCGTCAGAGCCAGCCACGCCGGAGGCCATGTTTCTGGAAGCGAGAGGAAGATGGCAAGGGGGCAGAAGGCGGAGGAGACGAGAGCCCCCCCTTTTTTTTTAGCCATCAAGCTTTTATCGGGGCTGGGGGTCTGGGGCAGCGGGCCTCACTGGACACCCAGGTCGGGGCCACATGGCTGAGGAACCAAGAGATGCCAAAGATGACGCCCAGCATCTTGGGGATGTCCGGGTCGTCCACAAAGGCCTGGGCCCCTTCCAGGGGCAGGTGCACCACCTCGTCCGCCAAGCCCCCGCCTGGGCTGCTGTGCTGGGCGTCGGTCACCTCCGCGCAGAACATGGTCTGGCAGGAGCCAGTCAGCCCCACCCCAGACCTGTACGTGGCCACCCGGCGCAGGCTGGAGGGAGCCAGGCGGTAGCCACACTCCTCCCACGCCTCCTTGCAGGCCACCTCCTCCAGCGAGAGCCCCGGCTCACAGCTCCACCGTCAGCCCTGCCACGCCGGGCAGCGCCGGCTGCAGCTCCCGGGCCCCTCCCGGCCCACAGCCGCCAGCGACCCTGGGGAGTGGCGCTCCGTCTCACCTGCGTACACAGCTGGCCGGAACTGCCTGACCAACACCAGGCTCCTTCGGGAAGAGTTGAGCAGGAGCAGGGTCACGCTGTCGTGGGTCTTCATGAAGTCCCAGGACTTCTGGGTGCCGTTCTGGCGGTAGTGCAGCGTGGGCGGCTGCAGGTAGGGCGACGCGGTGCAGCGGCCCACGGCTGCTCCCTCGATGCGCTCCATGGTTCTTAACTCTTCCTCCAGTGTTCAATGCCTCCTAAAACACTGCCTCATGGGTGTTGAAGCATTTTTATTTCAATGGTAATACATACACAACAGTTTCTTGGAGGAGGCCACTCAAGTTAGTGCCACGTGCCTTCCACAGATACGTGGGTTCTGTCCTGAATCTCAGGGGCTGAGGCATGGAGTATAAAGGGGGCAAAGAGAAATCAGTCCACATTCCAAAGTAGAGTACAGGGGCTGTTCTGAGAGGAACCTACAGGGCTGATGGGGACTGGGCAAGGGGCTAACCCTTGGAAAACCTCATTGCATTAAACAAAATCTCTTTGTTCAGTATTTTCTGACTAACTGCATCAAAAACGCTAACAGCCCAGATCATGACATTGGAAGATGCTCCAGTTCAATGACCCGATTCACTGCCCCCCACCATCAACCAGAAAGGTGGGTATTCTCAGCTCTACTTCCAGAGCAATTAGAGCACCAGAAGTCAAGGTCAGGATCGACCCCAGGGCAGTGAGGAGTCCAGGTCTCCTGCTGCCTCCTTCCCCAGAAGCCACATCCAACACAGTCCTGTACAGGTTACACAGCCCTTTCTCTACACATTTTACTTTATGCAATCGTCACAGCACGCGTAGAAGTGATTGCATCATTTTAAAGAGGGAAGCTGAGGCTTGGGTAGGAACTTGAAGGGTAGGAACTTGCAAAGTGCACCCCACAGGCACGTAATGCAGTCAACACCAACACCCAAATCCTCCGCCTACAAACCCCATGCCCTTCTGTTACCACTCCACCCAGTACCGGCAGTACCACAGGGGCCGGGTTTGTGGGTACACTGGCTTAAAAGAAAACCTGCTGCAGCTGGCACCTCATCAGGTGTTGGTGGGCAGAAGCTAAGTCCTGAATGCCTCCAGTGAGGGGGGTATATCCAGGAGCCCAGGGTAGCTCAGGGACAAAAAGGAAAAATCCTGGCCCCATGGAATTTACATTTTAATGGTATGAGATAGATGTTAAATAATGAAACATAAGAGGGCCAGTGCTGTGGCATAGGAAATTAAGCCACTGCTTGAAGTGCTGGCATCCCATATGGGCACCAGTTCAAGTCCTGGCTACTCCACTTCTGATCCAGCTCCCTACTCATGTGCCTGGGAAAACAGAAGATGGCCCAAGTCTTTGGGCCCCTGAACCCACATGGCAGACCCAGAAGAACTCCCAGCTCTTGGCTTTGGTCTGGCCCAGCTCTAGCTGTTGCAGCCATTTGGAGTTAACCAGCAGATAGAAGGTGTGTCTGTCTGTCTCATTCTCTCCTCTCCCCCTGCCCCAATAATTCTGCCTTTCAAATAAAATAAATAAATCTTTTAAAAAATAAATAATGAAGTATAAAACATGGCAAGTGATGGCGAGTACTACGGAAAATTAGACTAAGAAGGCTCTGGATGCAAGGTCATCGGATAAAGCCATATTAGAGAAGGTCCCAACGATAAGTACAGGAACAACTGTCATGGGTAGCTGGGAAAACACTCTGGACAGAGAAAACCACAAGTACAAAGGCCCCAAGTTTAACACTTGGTGAATCCAAAGGATGGGGAGGAGGCCGGTGTGACTAGGAAAGTTCCACAGCCACACACCTGCCTTAATGGAGCAAAAGCTATCAGACAACAACAAGTACACATCTTTGGAACATGAAGACTGATAGGAGGTAAAATTGAGTCATAAGTCCACCACTACAGGGCTACAGAACTAACGGAAGCTTAGAATCAGAGAGATAGTACTTGACTCCCTATTCCAAGATATTCCACTTATTTGAAAGAGAAACAGACAGGAATCTTCCATCCATGGATTTACTCCCCAAATATTAGCAACAGCAAAGTCTAGGCCAGGTCAAAGCCAGGAGGCAGGAACTCCATCCAGGTCTCCCAAGAGGGTGGCAGGGGCCCAAGTACTTGAGCCATCCCCAGTTGCCTTCCAGCAGTGCACGAATAGGAAGCTGGGTGAGAAGAGTCCCGACTCTAACCCAAGGCCCTCTGATATGGACGTAGAATCAGCACACTCTCCTGGAACTTGGTGGCAAATGGCAGAAGAAGTGGCTTCCCCACTGGGCCTTTCTCATCTCGAGACGCTGAGGTGCCTCCATGGAACCCTGGGACCCACACCCAAAATTGCCAATCATGGATCTAGACAAACCAGAGTCACAGTCCCCCTGGTCAGCTGCTCTGGCCACCGCTTCAGCCTCCAGTCTGCAATTCCCCACCTCCTTGGGCTGACTCTGGGCCTGACCGACCCAGAACTGCCCTTAGCTCTGCCCCGTGTTCAGCCTTGAGTGCTACTTCCACCTGTGGCGTCATTTGTAGGGGCGTCTAAGGAGTTAGAACAAAGAGATTCAGATCATTGCTCAGATTTGCTTTGCAAATTGGACTCTTGAGTCCAAAGTGAGACTGTGGCATTGAAAATGGGATTTATTGCAAGAACACACCTCGACCCCAGAGATGATGACAATGAATCTGCCCAACACTTAAACCCTGACAACCCCAGCCACGTCCTTGACTTCACGACTCATCCCCATATACTTCCTTGTTTAGAATATTCTTCTTTGGGACAAATTTAACTCAAATTTCCAGCAAGCTAAATTCTCTTTCCCTCTGATACTTCCTCACAGTTTCCCAAGCAAAATCACTTGAGCACCCACCTGGATTCCTTCCCATGTATTTCGTATAGCTCTCCTGTGTTTACATTAGGAAAACATGCTGGTGTCTCTCCCTTCCCCCACTGTCTCCAAGCTTCTCTTGGGACTAAGAAATGTGTCTTATTCACATTGGATGCCTCAGCTGCTGCTAACACAAGGCTCTTGGGCCTCGATACTTTTGCTGATTGACGTCATAACTTGGTACTGGCTGGGGTTGTGAGAAACAAGGGCCCTTGTCAATGACACATTTTGAGAAGCTGCTAGCCAGGGCTAAGCCACCATTGCTTACTCGCTTGGCCAACTCAATCACTTGTCAAGAAGCACAATGATGTGTGGGCACGGAGGGTTTCGGATGGACGGCACCAGCACTCACCTTTGGTCCCCATGGCAAACCTTCTGTCCTGGCTTCCTGTTTGTAGCTCCATGCTGGCTCTGTTCTGAGGCAGACACGCTGCTACGGCTCGCACAGCCAGCAATGACACACTCTCCCTCGTGCCTGGCCACAGCCGCTGGCCACTGTCAGCCTCTCAGACGTGACTGACAAGAGTGGAAGGCAAAATCTGTGGGAAAAAAATCCGAAATGAGGTCCCAGCCCTCACTCCCTCATTATGTAAAGATGAGCTCATGTCTTCTGAGTGCCGTGTGGTGAGTCTCACATGATCCAGAGACACAAAGAGCTTTACCAGGAGAGAATCGGTTTTGGTTTTTTGTTTTTTTTTTTTTTTTTCTGACAGACACATGGGCCTGGCTAATGATGACTCTGGCCCGTCAGCACAGAAAGGGAAACTCAGATCCATCTTCCAAGTTCACACTGCACGTCAAGCTACAGAGAAAGGTCCGTTCCTGTCAATAACCACAGCATCACTGCTGCGACTTCCTTTGCAGTGGTTTTATTAAAAAACTAAGTTAGCCCAGATCCATGACCCTAAGCCAAGAACAAAACAACCCCAGTTGTAGAAAATATCAATTCTCTTGGCCGGCGCCGTGGCTCACTAGGCTAATCCTCCACCTTGCGGCGCCAGCACACCGGGTTCTAGTCCCGGTCGGGATGCCGGATTCTGTCCCGGTTGCCCTTCTTCCAAGCCAGCTCTCTGCTGTGGCCCGGGAGTGCAGTGGAGGATGGCCCAAGTGCTTGGGCCCTGCACCCCATGGGAGACCAGGAGAAGCAGCTGGCTCCTGGCTTTGGATCAGCGTGATGCGCCAGCCGCAGTGCGCTGGCCGTGGCGGCCATTGGAGGGTGAACCAACGGCAAAGGAAGACCTTTCTCTCTGTCTCTCTCTCTCACTGTCCACTCTGCCTGTCAAAAAAAAAAAAAAAAAAAAAAAAGAAAATATCAATTCTCACATGTCCCTTAATTTCTGTGGTGTCATTGAAGACTTTTCAGATTTGGGGTCAAGTTACAACTCTACACACACACACACACACACACACACACACACATACTTTTGCGGGTTGCCCGTCTGGTGGGTTTTGGTCCCGACTTTATGGCTAACAGTTCAAACTGCATTGTTCTTGGGTTCATGTGTACACATTAGCAGAATCACATGGGATTTGCCATGTTTATTATCAAACAATTAACTGTTTCTTCTGAAATTCCTCTAGGATTTCCATCTAGCTGATGTGGCTTTTGTGTTTCTCAAAAACTAGCACACGAGAACACGAGAGAAGTGTTTGTATCTTTATGAAATGTGGAACATCCAAGGGTTATTGCCAACAGACACTTGAGACATGACCACAGGAGAAAGACAACTCACGGAACTGTGTGGAAAGACAAATGGCAGTAAACGTGTTTATTTGGAGGCCTATATTTTCCCTTTCTGATTTTTTTTTTTACATTTCACTAATATGAAGTTATTCAACCTGAGTAACATCAGGTCCTGCAAGAATGACCATAAACAAGCCCTTGGTTGAGGAGACACTCCCTATATCGTGAGTTGGAGAACTTTAAGTGAAAGTGGCCCTTTGGATGTCATATTTCAAAACCACCGATGTCCATTGCCCCTAGAAGCAGCACATAGCTGATGTGCCTTCCCTTAGGAAGTACATCCAGTTTGTTACATATAAAACTACGTAGTTGTAGAGGACTGCTCTCAAGGGCAGGAGCTGAATTATTAAATTTCAATTCCTAAACTGGACCAAATTCCATGGGCTTTTGCCTTAATCTTTCCACTTTATGTTAACTAAGTTCTAATTAAGCAGGTTTACTTTAATGAAGTCAGAAAGCAGGCCTTTCCTTCCCTGCCTACACTTTGAGTGTTGCAGAGCACTTTCTTAATTAAGGTGAAGCATTCCCTTTGGCTCTCACAGTCGAAATTTTCCACTTATTCCGCTTAGAATGCCAGTTGGCTCCCACACCCT